CTCCATTCAGTACTCTTTAAAAAATCAGAAAGAGTAAGGTAATATAAGTATGGCTTAGTGGTTAGAATCCATTTAGCTTTTTATTCTGTATTGCAGTGTTGAAGTTTCAGTTCTGAATAGTGATATTCTAGTGCTGGAAAAATACTTGCTATTCTCCTTCCAGGTTTTCCTTTCAGTAGAATGGAAGCAGTACGTATTATCCCCATATAAGAGAGATTCCTGAAAAGTGATCAATTTGCAGTACTCAGTAAGTAGCTATTATTGCTGCAGGATCAAAGCTGAAACAACAAAGGTCTCTGCAGTCACTCCTGCAGCGTCGTGTGCAGGGGTGTGTGGCCGAGTCTCTCTCTGCTCTCCCAAGTACCGTATCAGGAGAGTGTCCATCTCAATACGTAGCCTGTCTTTGTTTTGCCTTTATCTAGGGCTTTTGTAATATATATATAAAATCTCAAAAAAGGTGCACACATAGGTTTTTATTCATATTTTTTTTCTCTCTCCAGCAAGAAGTACTATGACATATAAGGTCAATGAGAGGAAGTCATAATGCATTCCAAATGCATTAAAAACTCATTTGTCAAATGTGTATGTTTTATACCAGAATGCATTCATGTCTGGGGAAATAATGGTTGAGAATAACCATCCTAATCTTCCTCTCCAAAAAAAACAAGCCTGTTGAAAAACCAGCAGCATGCCTGAATGAGCCTTTGGGGACTGCTAGAATGGGGGTTGCTTTTCCAGCTTGATTCAGACGCTGTCGAGGGCAACTATCTCAGATGCTCTTTTACATTGTTGGGGTTTTTTTTTTTGCACAGCAGTATTGCCAAGGGATAGGATGTTTCAGCAGTGCTTTTGCGGGATATCTGCTGACAGTAGATGCATGTCAGCAATTTTGGGTCCCACTCCCGAAGCTGGCAGAGCATTTTGCTTTATTTGGCACAAGTTCTTTTGTCTGTACACCCTAAATGTGACCCTCTGCTCCCTTTTAGACTGGGTCATGGACACTCTTCCTCTCCATGCCTTCATTTAGACTTCCCAGACGAGATGCTGGTTCAAATGAAACCTATTTTGTCTCTCCCAGTTGGACCCCTATCACCCTCTGAAAGACTTCATTTCAGTCAGGTCTAACTGTAGTAGGCTCTATTGAAGAACCCAAGATAGGTTGGGTTCTCTCAGATTTGACAGTAGATGCATGAGAAAATTGAGAAGCAGTCTTATTTGGGAGGTTGGAAAAACTCAGCATAGACTTCAGAATTACGGTGAATGGACAGAAGAATGAGGTTCATTTGAGAAAGAAGGAATCTATTTGGTGGGAATTTAAAAGGAATAAAGACATATAGAGAGATGCAGAAAGGGAAAAAAGGAAACAGTTTTTCCCTGTTCTGGATAACGTATCAAGTGCGAGCTTCAGGTATGGCACCTCCATGTCTACCACTCCAGATATATTTATTGGCTACTGAAAACTCGTTGCAACTCCGTGTGTAACATGGATACTCCATGTGTTTCCTCGGTATTTCAGTACTAGAGAGAACCTGCAAAAGGACTGTGTAGTGAGGAGTGATTAAAAGCTCTAAGAACAGCCCCGTTTTGCTTCCCTCTTCCGTGTCAGCTGGCACAAAGAGCTTTGCTGAGGTACCTGCCACTGCTTGCTCCAGGAGGAACAACTTGGATGTGTAAGGTCAGCTTGGGAGTGTTGAGTTCCCAGGCTGACAAGAGCCATCACTAGGTTTGAGTTGCAGCTGCGTGGCAGCCTGCAGATAGCTAAAGGGGACGCCCGAAAGCTTCATGAATTATTTGTCATTATAGTCCTTCTTTATTGACATTTATGAATAGTCTATGACCACAAATTTTAACTTGTGGCTCTTTGGCAAATGTTTGCTGTAAAGAACAACTTTGCTGTGAGGGTGCCAGAGCCCTGGCACAGGCTGCCCAGGGAGGCTGTGGAGTCTCCTTCTCCGGAGATCTTCCCAATCCGCCTGGATGCCGCCCTGTGCCCCGTGCTCTGGGTATCCCTCCTGGAGCAGGGGGTTGGACTAGGTGATCTCTAGGGGTCCTTTCCGACCTCAACCACTATGTGATTCTTCAGGCATTGATTGTTCTAGGGTTAAGCTGGCTTGCTCGGAAACACTGAATGCCATTAATTCAGAAATTATTCTTTAATTTCTGAAATTCCTTAATAATTTAAACTGGATTATCACAAAAGTATTAATCTGGTATTAATGTTCTTTTTACACTTAAATCATATTACAAACAATATCTTACGTCTTACATTCCTGTAGCTCTATACCTTTGTAATATCCTTGTTTCTCCTGAAGAACAACATCTTACCAAACCTTATAAATTAATTTATAAATTAATTTCTTTCAACAGATTCTTCCTTTGATAACATACTGGTGACAGTGCTCAAATATAAGTAATACAGCTGTGCTGAACACCTGGTTTTCTGAGTGTATTAATGATTGAGGGCTGGAGGGAAAGGAATTTCTTCTGAAATGCTGAGGATTTGGTTTCTTGTTCAAGAAATGTATCATTTTTACATTTCATGTACCAGGTAATACAGGCACAGAGGTTGATTAGTTTCTTGGGCTCTTGAGGAAGCCATGAGAGAAATCCTTTGGTAAATCCTCTGTCAGTTTGGGGAAGAGAGAGGAAAGTAATGAGGAGCTGAATGCTTCCCCTGCCTTTGGACAAGGATTATTTAAAAATAAGTCATTTCACACTAAATATGTTTGTTCTCATTGATAAATGTGTTTAAAAAATAATGCTGTTTGGATAGGGATCTCTTCCTTTCTAAGCACACTGCCCAGTCCCCAATTGGAGCTGCTGCAAAAGGGTGATGTGTACGGCACCTTTCTTTCTCTGTTTCTTTGTTTCTCTGTTTCTCTGTTTCTCTGTTTCTTTTTTCTCTCTCTCTTTTTCTCTCTCTCTTTCTCTCTCTCTTTCTTTCTCTCTTTCTCTTTTTCTCTTTCTCTCTCTTTCTCTCTTTCTTTCTTTCTCTCTCTCTCTCTCCTTCCTTCCTTCCTTCCTTCCTTCCTTCCTTGGGCCGCTGTAGAATACCTCCTCAAGGAGTATGAAAATACCGTAGTGTGGCTATTCAGAAAAAGTTAAAAGAGTGTCTTCACAGCCTTGGAAACTTGAAGTTCTTCTGCTTATGAATGGTCAGTTTGAATTCTGTCTCCCCAGTTCACAGTCACTCTCTTTTACTTTAGATCCGTTTTCTGCAGGTTCTGTTGATATAAAAACCCTCCTGAAACAGGGGTTGTGAGCCCCTCATATCATGAGCTGGGGCTCTTTTTGCCTCTTTAGAACTATAATAAGAACAAAAATTTTATCTTTAGACATTCAGAGTTGGAAATATCTGCCTTGAGATCAACCCTCCAAGAATTACACTGAGATGATGATGCATTTAAGTGAATCATGAGTACTTTAAAGTGGGTATCTTCCAGTCTTCCCTGTCGAAGCACATCCAGTTCGTACAAATGCATTTGCTGGGAGCCTTTATTTGTTTTACTAACCCCTGGACTCTCCCCTCTGTGTCTCTCAGTGCCCAGTGATGTTCTTTAGAGCAGCTGCAATGGGAATTGCTGTAACACAGTCTGACTCAATCTTGTTTGGGAGTGCGGGGGGCTCTGGACTTGGGATCACAAACTTCACCTTCACCCCAAGCAGCCCTTCCTTGGAAACTGATAGTGAGGAAGGCCCTTTTTAGCTTGTGTTTCCAGTAAAAAAAAAATAAAATAAAATAAAAAATAAAGAGGCAAAAGGGGCAGCTGTCTTCTGTTTTCTCCCTCTTCAATGTGACCTCCCTCCCACATTTACCTGATGGATCCCGAGCGAGTGGTTCTGTCAGCACAGGAAGGAGCCGCCTCGAGCACAGAGACACACGCACGTGTTCACTCCATGCTCTTGCATTTGGAAACAATTTTTTTTTAATATTTTACTTGATTTTAGTGTTCGGCTGTCTGCCTGTTCGCCTCTCTGCCTGCCGCCTCTGCTCTGGCCCTCACACAGACTAACAGCAGTGGCTGTATCTGAAAGGGAGCGTGTTGGAGCCTCACACATTCCTGGCTTCCAGGCGGGGTTGGAGTAGAGGTTGTTCAGTTCATTTTCTTTTTCAGGTTGTATTACTTCTCTCTTCTTTAAATGGGCTAATTGCAGAATATTTTTTTCTGGTTCAGTCGATGTAGAGGTATTTGGGTAGAGGTGTGTGAGACACGTAAATGTAATCGCTCGTGAGGGGAAGGGGCTTTCAAAGACACCTCTTAATTTTAAAGCAAGTCAGCTCTGGATTAAAGATAGGAAACAAAACCACATCTGTGAGCATGAGCTGGGAGCTGTCCTCCTTGGGCCGAGCTTGCCGGGCTGTGTGAGGCGCCCAAGGCCCTGCTTCCCACACGTGCTGGGCACCGGCCTCTCCCGCTCCGCAGGTGCCGCCTCAGGGCACGGCAGCATGGGAGCTGGTGGGAAGATGATCTCATGGCAGGCGGCTGCAGAGCTGCGGGCAGCGTGGGCATTCGGTGGGATGAGCTTGCAGGAAGGATTGGGAAAAATAGCCGGTTTTAATTATGAAGGAACAGAGAAGGGGAGAGCGGCGCTTCGAACCCAATCCACCCGGCTGCCGCTTGTGTGGCGGGACTGTTTCAAACACGTCTTGTCCAGAAGCAAAAGTATTTCTGCCTTAGCAGGTGCTGTTTGTCATTTCAAATCAGACCTGTGTTTCTTTTCTGTTTTTCTGGGAAGTGTTTGAAATTCAGTAATCTGGCGTATTCCTGGTTATTTGGATTTCACCCAGCACATTCCCTAACCGGAGCTGAGAGCTGTTCTGGCACTGCCTGGGCTACAGCAGGGGCACCTGCATGGCTCACATCTGGGTGGATCTTTCTTTCCCTTTCTTTTTTATTTTTTGGGAATTAATATTATTAATGTTATTCACTCCCTGTCCTTCAACTCTGGCGAAACAAAATCACCTTGCTTCGGATTTCCTCTGGGATGGGGCAGTCGCGATGGGCTTTTGGGTGAGCTGCCTCCTTGAAGAGTTAAATGTTCACAACTTATTTTGTAACTTCCCGTCCCCGAAGCCAGTTTATTTTACAAACTCTAAATTTAGTCTGTTTGGTTTCCGTCATCAAGGACGGCTTTTCTGGTTTGCTTCCTTACAAACGGTTTGACCTTGAGGGAAGGCTGCCGGGAAGAAGGAATGGTCTGAAAGCTGACAGCTGATTGTTGGGGACTTCCAAAGTCTGTGTGGAGTCTCCAACTGCACCAAGGTGCACAGGGAAGCTTGGGAATGTGAGGAGATTCCCGAACTGCAGGGCATCGGGACGAGCTGCTAAATAAATAAAAAAACTGATTTGTTTTGTGCTGGTTTTAACTTGTTATATGCTGTGATAAGCTCACTGTGGCTTGATTATGAATGGGAAATAATGTTAAAGGAATATTGTCAGGAGTGAGATGGGGGAGTGGGAAGGAACCTGCCGTTACTGTTCAGTAACCCCATTAGTAAATGTATAGGCTATAATAGATACTGGGCTATAGTCAGGTGAGAGGAGCTCGAGCTGAGGGAGCTGGTGTGACACAGCAGATCCCTGCAGGGGTTCCGAATCCTGCAGATCCTTGTAGGGATTCGTGATCCCACAGAACCCTGCAGGGATTCGTGGTCCCACAGATCCCTGCAGGGCTTCCTGATCCCACAGATCCCTGCAGGGCTTCCTGATCCCACAGAACCCTGCAGGGATTCGTGATCCCACAGATCCCTGCAGGAGTTCGTGATCCCACAGATCCCTGCAGGGATTCGTGGTCCTGCAGATCCCTGCATGGATTCGTGATCCCGCAGATCCCCGCAGCGGATGACACATTCTCACTCGTGTACGTGCCAGGCTTTGCCAGATGTCTTTGGGTTAGTTGTGGGGTTCGTGGGCTCCTTTTCCATAGAGGATGGGGAAGCTAACAATAAGGAATGTTTTTTTATACAGCCAAAAAAAGGCCCACCATGTGTCCTGGCAGGAATTTGTTACCGGCAAGCTAATGAAATGGAGCATAACCAAGAACACAGTGTTAGAGGGCACACACACAAAGCCAAGAGCACTGGCCAGGAGAGGCTGCGGCCTCTACATTGAAAGAGCCTCTTCTAATAGGGATCCAGCTTGAGGTGCCTTCCAGTCCTGCTGCAGCCTGGATCTCAGCCGGTGAGGAGCAGCCCAGGCCTGCACGTGTCGGGACGCGGTGGGGATGCAGTGGGGACATGGTGGGGACGTGGTGCAGAGGCCCTGCTGGGTCCCAGCTGGAAGTGGAGGCTGAAGCCGTTCGGCTCCTCCACAGCAAAGCAGAGGAGCAGTGAGGGAAGCTGCGTGAAGCTGGATCAGGAGCAGTGAGGGAAACTGCGTGCTGTGTGAAGCTGTGTCCTCACATCCCATTTCTGTGGCCTGGACTAGTGTCCAGCCAGCCGCTGCTTTACAGGGACCTCCAGCTGAACCCTTCCTAACCCTGCAGCCTCCCTGGGAGCACTCAGCGAGAGGACTTGCACCCGGAGAGCCCAAAGGAAGCTGGAAAAACCAACACAGCCATTTCGGGGCAGCTAGATGGGGCAAAACCTCAAATCTAGCAGTCATCTGTGCCCACAGCGCCACGAGAACCCCAGTTCATTAGATAAGGATGAAAAGACAAGGAAAAAACTAACTTGTTTTTCACTCTATTGACTTCATGAGGAGAAAGAGAGTCTGAAGTTATATTGCTGAATGTCCCAGAGATGCTGTTGTCATCCTCTGCACTGGAAAGGAAGTGGTATTGTTAAATAAAAAGAACATCAATGTTCATTGTCCAGGGAACTGAGCAGTATTAATTCTCAGTTAATAACACTAGGGAGATACTAAGAAATAACGCTCCAAGAAAGTAGTTTTCTTTTTGGCTTTGTTCGTGTTCTTGTTCAGACAAGTTCCTACTTGTAGTTTGACAGGCAATGGTGGAAAAAATTTCTTTTTCCAGAAAATAATGCTAATTTAAGGTATAGAATTTTGATATAAGTACAATTTAAATACAGCTTTGGCAGGCTGGTTTAAAATCTGAGATTTTGGAGAAACACATATACTAGCCGGTTACTGCTATGCGGTGAATTGTTGGTGTAAATCACTCCCACAGAACAAAGTGTAGCATGTCTGTGCAAAGTTTGTATGAGGAACACTTGTTACATGATACTTTTCTCTGTTCTTTTTTTTTCTTTTTTTTTTTTTTTTTTCCCAAGTGGCTTGGTCTAATTACTACAATAAAATGGAAATGGGATCTGAAAAAAGAAATGTAACTCTGTGATGATAAATGATGTACAGTTTGTCTTAAAGATGCAGAAAGGAGTTGACTGGCAAGAAGTCTCTTAAAAAAGATGCCCAGAACATTGCTAGAATGGAGACCAGTCTTTAAAGCTGGGTTTTGAGGTTTGAAGGGGGAAGTTGAGTCTCACATCTTCACGCAATGTGGATACATCATGTGCATCCACCCATCTCCCTACGATGTGCATCCATCAGGTGCATCCACATATCTCCATGTGATGTGCATCCATCACGTGCATCCACAGAGCTGCCCCAGGGAGGGCACGTTGTGCTGCTTTCCTGCCAGGGCATCTCTGGAACTACATTGGGATCCCTCAAATAGCTTTTCTGAGGGAAACCTGAAGTCCTAACCCATGCTGACAGCTCCAACCAGAACAGATTTATTTTCTGTATTGCTGGAGAATTAGTTCACATGGCATTCATCTGTCACGTCTGCTCTTCTAGTATTGGCACCGTCCACATAAGATAATTTGGGGTCTTTCCTTGCAAGGTCATCATGGCTCTTGCTGTAAAAGGCCTCATGCTACTTGCTGCAGAGGCAGGTGGGGCTTTTAAGGGGCTTTTGGGAAGGTCAGAGAAGACTTCCTCTGGACATCTTCAATACCCGCTCTGTGCCCCGTGCTCTGGGTGTCCCTACTGGAGCAGAGGGGTTGGACTGGATGATCTGTAGAGGTCCCTTCTGACCTCAACTACTCTGTGACTCTGGGATTTTGGATGAGGCTGAGCTCAGTTTCTGGCCTGCTTCCAGGGTCCGTGTGGGTCCATGTTCCCAGTTTGAGAAGTGTCCCAGAGTCCATGAAGCTGCTGGGAGCTTCACGTTTACTTGGAGTTTCCCGCACGGCAAGTTCATCTGCCCTGGGGACAGAGCCAGCAGTGTGAACGGCTTCTAGATGCCCTCGCGCAGCCCCGTGTGCCAGCGGACACAGGGACACTCTTGTCTCCCTATCCTGTGAGCGGATCCCATCCGGCTCCCCTCCCTCAGCCCGAGGATGGAAGATGTTGCCTTGGCCCTGAGGACATCTCGTGCACCTTCCCTGAGGGCACCCAGTGCGGCAGAGCCCGCGCTGCCTCTCGCACGCAGGGGACCTGCCGGCTGCCCCAGCAGCTCCGTACAGAATAACCCCCGTACAGAATAACCCCCAGGCTGTCTATGCTGCTGCCTTGGCATTCCCACCGCACGTCCAGGCAGAATCCCGTGGCTGACAACAGTCAGGATAGCTTCTTCTGGAGGATGTTATAGGAAACTATCACTAGCAATTAGAGTTTTTTTTCAAGAGTGGATTTTCCTATCCTTGTCAGTCATAACTTGCTTTATGCGCCTTGAAAATTGACTTGTTCTTTATTTTTTTAAGCAGTAGAGTTTCCCGTTATCTGCATAAAGGAATTTTCGCTTTTATTATTTGTGTTGCAACAGAGCAGCGAGGCTCCAGGGAGCGGATGAATTGGGATCCCTTTGTTTTAGGTTGATTTGTGCATGAATAGAGCCAGAGACTCCCTGTCCCAAAGATGTTCTTGTTTCAAGGCGGGGGAAATGTCAGGCCAAGGAACACGTCTGAATCAGCTAAATAGCTGGGATCTACTGGAACAGACTGTCTTTAAGCATGCCAGGGATAATAGTCACTTAGGCTGTTAAAATTTACAATTTTAATGTTAATTTTTCTGTTTTCCTTTTGCAATAGAACTCTGCTTGGTAATGAAACTTGACTCTGACTCAATAACGGAAGAAGTCACAATAAAATATTAGTTATAAACGTTAGTTTATACGTATAGTTAGTTAAACGTATAATTAGTTAGTTATAAATGTCCCAAAGTGATTTCACAGGTGGTTTTCTTGCTAGCCTAATAGAGGGTTTGAAATACTTCCGGCTTATTTTTTTTGAGACAATTAATAAATACTATAAACTAGAGATTGGAGGAATGAATTTTAAGGTGTTCAGATACAGTAAAAGAAATTAAAAAAATACTATCTATGCAGAGAAGCACTGTTTTGGATCGAGTGAAGTCTGAAGTGGCTTTGCAAGTGGTTTTTGGCCAAGTTGGTTTAAATGCTACAACACAGAATCCACATTTCTTTCTAATGGTAGAGCTCAGAGAGAATATTCCTGCAGTTCTCTACCATGGAAGTATTTAGTAAAGTAGCTCAAAAGTGTGTTTTGTATCGTTGTGGATTTATAGGTATTTTCTTCCTTACTATTTTTATTGAAAATTGCCTGAAAAAAGATGTTTAATAAGCAGTTATTAATGGACTCTTGTCAATAAGGAAAGATGGATCAGATTGACTTCCTCGTGGATCTGTCTTTGGCCTTGTGTTATTCAAAAATCCTATTAACAACTTTGATGTTTGAAGTAAGGAGTGAAGATGTAAAGATAACAGATGACAACAGTCTAGAATACAGTCTAGACTTGAGACCAGCTTTGAAAGAGTTGGTCTAAAGCATAGACTCATTTTGAAAAGTTGGGAAAAGTGCTCATAAAAATCAAGAAATTGTGACGATGTCACAGAAAGCCTAATGGACTAATCCAGAGCAGGAACTAGCTGGAACCATTGTTACCTGTATCAGGCAGCCCTGCAGATGTGGGTTATATGCTGATGTGCAAAGCCATCAGCTGGATAAAATGTACCAGGTCACACTTCTTGAGCATCTGCTCTTCTTGGCACCACCTAATGAGAGGGGGTGTGGAATTGCAAAGGCTGCTGCAGAGAGCACATGAGCACCAAGGCTTGCCTTTTTAAAGCTGAATTACAGCAAAGACATGAAGGAAAGTCTGCTTAGTCTAGAAGCAGATAAATAAGTAGGGGAATAAATAGGTAGGGGAAGCAGATAAATAAGTAGGGTATTGTCTTCGAGTGTGCTGAAATCTTTTAGGAAGATAGTAGTGACTGTTTTGTCTTTGTGTTGGAGGGGTCACAAGAGAGTAATAATGTGGATTAAGGTTAGATGTTGGTTAGGGAAAAAAAAGGTTCTGTAATAAATAGTAGTTATGTACTGGAGGAGATGAAAACATTTTGCTGCAGAGTAGTGAGGAGAAACTTCTGAGATGGATGATATTGTGCAGTTTAATTCTGCCACCCAAACATGCTTTTAATAGTCTGAAATGTGTCTTAGTAGTCTGTATTCATAGACTTAATGTCTGTAATTTGTATCATGATTTGTCCTTCAAACCATGAACTGACACAAGCAGCAGCAAAAGGAATCCTGTGGCTTTCAGAGCCACCTTGCATGATCAGCGTGTGTCAGCAGTGAGCGTGTAGGTGTTCTCCAGTCACATCACAAACTAAAAATACTTTCTTTTGTCTTCCCAACAGTCTCCAAACGTCCACAACTACCCAGATATGGAAGCTGTACCCTTGCTGCTAAATAACATGAAGGCAGACCCTCCAGAGGATTCCTTGTCTACAGACCACTTCCAAACACAGACTGAACCAGTGGACTTGTCAATAAACAAAGCCAGGTCGTCCCCTACAGCAGCTTCATCTTCCCCAGTCTCCATAACAGCATCAGCCTCCTCCCCTTCTTCTACTTCTACTTCTTCTTCTTCTTCCTCCAGTCGTCCAGCTTCATCCCCCACAGTAATAACGTCGGTGTCTTCGGCGGCCTCTGTACCGTCAGTATTAACTCCAGGTCCCCTTGTGGCCTCTGCATCTGGTGTTGGAGGTCAGCAGTTTTTGCACATTATCCACCCCGTACCACCTTCGAGCCCCATGAACTTACAGTCCAACAAGATGAGTCACGTGCACCGTATACCAGTGGTGGTACAGTCGGTGCCTGTTGTCTACACGGCTGTGAGATCACCCGGGAACATGAACAACACCATAGTAGTACCACTGTTGGAGGATGGGAGAAGCCACGTCAAAGGTAAGGTGGGGTTGGGTTTGTTTGTCTTTCTTTAGTGTCTCTAAAACCACACTTGTATGAAGCAAAGGTAATTTGCTTGTAATGCTGTTAATTTACCAACTTGTTATTTCATTTGCTGAAAATACAGCTGATCTTCACTGTTGCAAATAGCCTTTAAAAATCTTGTCCCAGATGCTCTTTAAAAGAAAAAAAAACTCAAAGATTTCAGCATGTTCAGACCACCAAGGGCAAATCTTGTCCTGAGATGAACAGTTCCTCTCCAGAAGCTGAAAACATAGGAGAACAGAATAACGATAATATATTAAGGTCCATAGGTGAACATGGAAAACTCACAAGGTGGTAGAGATTTCCAAAGAAGAGACAGAGAAAGGGAAGAAGGAGTCAGAGAAATGGATTCCACACAAGAGCCAGTACTCGCTGGACTGCAGGAATATGAACTGCAGGAAAAGGCTTTCTGAACCAAGAGGGGTAGCAGCTGTGCAGAATTAGGGCTCATGAAGCGCAAGGAGTGGCAGTGAGATGGTTTGAATTAGGCTGCTGCTTCCAGCTTAAACGGCAGCAGGGAAGGAAGGCACACAGAGTGCGTGTGGTGGAAATGAGTTTTGCAGTCACCGAACCTGGAAGGCCACGGAGGTGCGAAGGGAGGCAGCAAGTAGGTGCCAGAAGGACAGATATGCTCCTGGGGAGGAGTCCAAGGAACACAGAAAATGGGTGGGTAGCAAGAAGAAGTGAAAAAACATTAACTTTGCCAGCTACCAACAGAGCAAAACATGGTTAGAGATGGTGACATGACGGGTGGAGGATGAAAAGAGGAAACAGATGTGCCAGAGAGTTTGAAAAATGCTGCTTTATAAAGGAGACCTTAGTGAAAGGATGAATAAATATGGATGAATAAATTGCAGTTATTCCTCTCACAAAATGAGTTGTTGCTGGTGGGCAGGGAGGGCACTGCCAGAAAACCTCACTTTTGGGCCTTGTGAGACTACAAGGTGTCCCGACATCTCTTGTGTACCTTCTTGTGCAATCAATAGACCTCTACAGCTAAAAGACTTTTTTCTTCAGCTCTCCTGTCTGAGTTTGGTATGACGGTATTTAACTACAGGGATGAATCATTCTGGAGTTTAATAGCATCGTGTGGTCCATAAATCCTTGGTTGCCCCCCTCCCATTCCCTGGGTAGCCCGGCCTGCGTATGGAGTGTGTCCTCCCGACAGGCTGAGGCCCTAGGAAGCTGACCACAGCCTATCTGGGTTTTGCTTTCAGGCTCGAAGTGATGGCTTAAGGCATTTTATTACACTTCACACAGTGACATAACTGCAGGACCTTGTGCCATGGCAGTAAAAATCACAAAGGAAAGCAGGGTGGTGCTCCATGTTGTTTGAGAGGGAGCAAGGGAAAAGTTTGGGTCTCTGTTTTGATTTTGCAGCTTTGGGCTGCACCCAACTTGGAGCTCATCAGGAATTTTTCTTTTCAAAGGTGCTAGGTGGCTTTGGCACTAGTCTTCTCTATGGGAAATACCTCCCGAGCTCACAAAACTGGAAATTCACTCCCCTGGTTTCATCAACAAAATTCCAGAATTTAATGTGCCGCGGGGATTGCAGCCCCCGAGCTTCAGGCTTCCTGAGCTGCCCTGACAGCCTCTCCTTTGTGCTATTATTGGCAGAGATCATTAACCAGCCCTGCTGCACCTATTAATGTACAGCCACAGAAAGAGAAGGGATTAGGCTTTCTTTTAATTTTTTTGTCTAATCAGTTGTACCCATTTTGCTATCACTAATGTTTTTGATCCAAATGTTCAGGTTAATTTGAATAAATATAATAGAAGAATAACAGGCAAAAATTCATTCTGGGTACTCGCCCTTTGTTAGCTTTTTACTGGCGTGTGTTTCACCCTTTTTAATATAAAACCATATAAATAATAAAATGCAGGGACGTTGCATAAATTAACCGATTAAAGACATTTCATACGTGCACAAACTAACCTCCATTCAGCGATTAGCTAAAAAGCTGAAAACAAGAAATAAATTTACAGGCATGGTAACAGGAGCCTGCGGTCAAATTGAATTGGTTGCTGATCCTCCAGGCAGCTGAAGGAGAAACGCAGCTTCAGGAGTAGGTGAAGTCCCTCCTTTCAACTCCTGCATTAATGTCGATCATTTGCAGGGAGGAGCAAATAAACATGCTGAGGCACAGTCAGTGCCCAGCGCCACTTGTCCTGTAATCCCCGTCTTAGTTCTGCTTTAGGTCTAAGTCAAACACCCCGTTAATAGTAGAGAGGGCTGCTTGGGAAGCTTTTAAGCTTACCTAAGGTAAGGCTCCACCTAAAGTCCTTTTGAAGTGAATGAGATAGACGTATTTTCCCACACAGAGATGCTTTCAGTGCTAAAATTAGTCGGATCAGGTTAGACCAGAGGTCAGAACTGTTTTTTGGTGCTTCCAGTAGCAAGTACTCATAGAATAGTGCAAGAAAGGGGAGATATATAGGAGATTCCCCCCCCTGTTACTCCCTCCCCTTTCTCAGTTTTTATCTTCCTCATGCTTAATTTTCTTCTTCCTTCCAGGTTGCAAACATTTCATTTTTACTTTTACTGCAGAAACTTCTTCACAGGCCACCTCCATCTCCCTCCTTCTTCCTGTCTTTTTAGAGGATCCCAGTCCTTCCCAAGGGCCCACAATCCATATTCCCTCTTCAGCAAAATAGCTCTCCTGATGGCTGCTTTCTGGAGAGTTTGAGCAAATATTTATTTTCATCATCTGTTTGAACTCTCTCTTACCCCTCCACACAGAAGATCATTATCTCCTCCTGTGTTTCCTTCATCTTTTTCTCTACTTTCTGCTCCTTCCCACCTTGTCGACTGTTCTTTGGAGTTTCACTTTCAGCAGCTCTGCTCCTCTCTCTCTCCTTAGTTACGAGTATTTCTATCTTGCCCTGTCATCTCCTGCTTTGCCATGGCCCTTCCCTCTCCATGGCACCGTTCAGGCCGTCGCTTCCAGTTGCTGTTTCTTTTGGTTGAGTCTCGGATCTGCTTTGCAGCCTCCCAACATGGTGCTCGTTTCTGCTCTCTGCCCTGCCTTCTCTCTCATATATTTTACTTGGAACTTTTCCCGTTAAATCAAACTGAAAACCAGATGGGCTTGCAAAGAGTTAGCCTCTGTATCCATGAGCTCTGGCAATATCCCATCGGATCGGATGCCTCATGCTGTCCACCAGGCTCCAACAGGGGCATCTAGAGGGGCACCTTGGTGGTGCTATAAAAGCACCATTTTGTTTGGGTGAAGCCTGTGGCAAGGCACAAGCCTCTCCAAACACTTAACCTAAACCAAAATCAGGATCAAAGCGGTATAGGAATTTATTAACAGCACATAATTACCTGGTGGTCATTAAACTATAGGCTCAGGATACAACACCGGCCGTTCACAAAGTGTTACCTGCGCATTTCTAGACGCCTTCCTGTAGCTCGTGCCGAGAGGTTACGCTCCCCAGTGCTGCTCAGCCCCCTTGTCCTGCGCCGTGTGGGTCCCTGCGGGGTGCCCTGCACTGCTCCCAGTGCCCGGAGCACTCGGATCCCACGGAAAGCTCCTTCCCCTCCTTCTCAGCCCCTGGGCAGCAGTGCTGTGTCCTCCTAAAAGGTGTGTGATTGCAGACACAGCAGGCAGCAACGCCGAGAGGAAAGGGTGCCTCACAGTTTCCATTAAAACCTCATTTCAGTTGCTCAGAGTTTGTCTATATGCTAACTATTTAAGCTGACTTTTTCCATTTCCAGTGACTGCCTCGGGTTCCTTCTTATTTATTTATTTATTTATTTATTTATTTACAAGGAAAGTTTTGGGGAGTTCTCTTCCTCACGGTGAGAACAGAAGAAAAAGCACCATTTTCCATGATGAAATACTTATTCCAGCTTTTTTTTTTTTTTTTTTTTTTTTTTTTTTTTTTTTTTTTGGTGCAAAACTCTAGAAGCTCAGTGCTTTGCCACCATGAACCTCAGATCTGGTTCTGAGGTTCTTGGGGCCATTGTCTTCTTTATTTTTAACCTTCTGCATTTGCAGAAGCTTGGCCAACATTGGAGGTCTGCAGAAAGTCAGAATCTGCTTAAGAGGAAGGAAGTAAAGGGTAAAGCCTGAAAATCCTCCATGGAGAAAGGCAATGAGAAGCTCGCTGAGGAGGTGGGAATGGGGCGGGCAGTGGGGAGAGCAGGAAGGGTGAATACGGGATGAAAGGGAAGGAGACCAAGGGCAGAAGTTGTGAGGAACATTTGTGAATGTGAACACGTTCAGAAGGAAAAGCAGGAAAGGAGGCAGGAATGGTGAAAGAGAAGAATGTCAAGGGGAACATAGGAAAGAGACTGAGGCAGAAATTTTTGGATAACAGAGCAAGGAGACTTGTACAGACAAAAGCAGAAAGACCTGGCGTGGGAGGAACAAGTTCCCCTATTAGCTCTGGTCCCGATATCCCGGGTTTTTCTCTTGCTTTGCTCTCAGATGATATCCGTGAATCCATGCAAATCACGTCCCTCTAGTGGCAGATTTTGTAAGGGATAATGGCCCCAGCAGTTGTCCTCTCTAGCTCCGAGCTGCTATTAAATGAAGGATGTTTTAGAAACTCCACCCTGATGATGGCAGACCAAGGACTTGTGCAATTTGGGTATTTCTGTTTTTTGGGGGAGGTTGGGGGTTTTCTTTCAGTATTACATATTTTTAATGTTCTTTTTTTAAGTGTTCAGAAAATAAAAACAGTTGGAAATCAAGAAATGAGAACATTATAGATTAAAATTTACCAAGTGGACTTCAGTTTGCTTCCCAGGATCATAAGCATTGCAATACTGTATATAATATCATCAGGGACTATTTTCAAGTTACCCTTTTTGCACATTTACACAGCAGGAATGCCTGGATTGCATCTTTTTACAGTTGGTGCATTCCATATTCCTAATTGTGGATATATATTAATGAGTTGTAAATGCAGCACTCAGACACTTAAGACAGATATTCCTAGTAGATGAA